TCTTGGGGAGAACAGCCCAGTGTTTGAGCAGTGCAGCCAATGGCTGGCATAGGAGGAACCCAGGCCAGGCCTGGCTGGGAAGTCAAGCCTGGTGGGTCCTGCAGCTGGGCCAGCCTGCTTCTGGGGTGCACTGGGCCAGCATCTCTGCTGGAATGACCCTCCCTTAAAGTGCAGGAATGCGCCTGTGCCTTTTGTTTCCTGTGGGTCTGGGGCTTCTCTCCCCCACCCCCCACGCCTTGCGGTGCCCAGTCTTGCTCCTGGCTCTGCACTCGGGGCACCATAGATGGAGTGCTGGGGACCAAACCCAGGTCCGCTGCGTGCATGGCAGGTGTCTTAGCGTGCTGTGCTCTCTCCCTGGCTATGTCACCTGAGTTGGGAAGCAGGCCCGTCCCATCTTGAGACTCCTTCCGGTTCCTTTGGACATTCCGCCTGGCCTTCAGCTCGTCCCCTCCAGCAGCCAGGCTGGACTGTGCGTTCCGAGGAGCCCAAGGCCAGCTCTGTGTAGGACACCGCCATGCTGGAGTGTACGTGCGGGAGATGGCGGCAGTGGCGGCTGTCCATCCCAAACCCCGGCTCCTGGAGGGAATCCCAGATGTTGCGTTTTCCACTTCTATCCTATGGGAACAGCGGGGTCTGTCTGAGGCGCTCACGACTCGGGAAGAGCACAGGTGCTGCGACTTGAAGCCCAATCTGTCTCGGTGTGTTGGTGCGAGGCAGAGTCTGAGTCTGGCTTCTTAAAAATAACACAGGTCTGGGGCCCGGCTGCACGGCCCGAGCCGGCTCGTTCCCTGTGATCCAGTTCACAGTGAACGAGGAGGGCCGAGGCCCGACATCAGGGTGGGACTGTCCCCTCCAAGGTCACCTAGCCCATGAATTGCTGAGCAGACGCTGGACCTCCCGCCTGACTTTGTCTGCTCTGAGAACCACTGCCCAGTGTGAAGAGGCCCTGCTGGCCCGGGTCGCCCCCTTCTGTGCCGGCGCCTGCTCCTTTGGTGCCACCCCGGGGAACATGCGGGCCATGCAGCGCTGGAGTGGATCAGAGGCAATGGCAGAAACACCCACAGGATGGTGGAAGGATGTGCTCCCGCTCACGCACCAGGTCTTGGACTAGGGGTGCAGCGTGGACGGCTGCAGCACGGACCTCCCTGCAGTCACTGCTGTCCGGCGAGGACACACGTGTCTGCAGGGTTTTGGGGGGTGGGGGGACCTGGTGCCCATTTGTTTCTTGATGGCCTCAGGGGCAGATGATGTCCAGATGAGTCTCGGCAAGAGCAGCCAGCAGGAGGCTGGAGAAGTCACTCTTACAGTTGTGGCTTTAAAAACACAGTGGACCATCAGTGCTAGTTGACTTGCTTCTTTTGTTGTTTACATTTGTTTGGGTTTTTTTTTGGGGGGAGGGGGGCATGATCTGGAGTTACTCCTGGCTCTGCACTCAGCAATCACTCCTGACAAACCAGGGCACCATATGGGATGGCGGGGATCGAACCCAGATTGCCCGTGTGCAAGGCAAATGCCTTACCTGCTGTACTTTATTTTATTTTTTGCTTTTTGGGTCACACCTGGCCATGCTCAGGGGTTACTTACTCCTGGCTCTGCACTCAGGAATTACTCTTAGTCGTGCTCGGGGGACCATTATAGGATGCTGGGAATCAAACCGGGGTTGGCTGCATGCAAGGCAAATGCCCTACCTGCTGTGCTATCGTTCCAGCCCCTGCTGTACTTTTTTTGGTTGTGCATTTCGTTATTAAAATGCCCGCTTGAGTAAATCGACGAACAACGGAATGACAGTGATACAGTGATTTCGTTATTAAAGAAATAAGACTGACCGGTAGAAAAGGTGAAGAAACGTGTGATAAACGTCTTACAGTGCTGACTGTTCACGACCAGGCTTTCGTTCCTGCCCACCGCTTCGTTCACATCCGGGGTCTGTGCCGCTGCTCCCATACTGTCGCTGTGGGCCATCTGCTGTTGCTGTTAGCTCGCTGACCCCAGACTAGGAATTACTTTCGTCTCAGTGGTTCTTTGGCTAGAGATCGAGGCCCTGAGGCAGGGAGCGTCCTGAAGTAGCAGTCCCACTAAGCAGTCGAAGGGGCTCTGAGTTTGTGTTCCACGGAGACCAGCTCTGAGCCATCTTCCCCTAGTGCCGTGGTTATCCGAACCCACCCGTCTGCTGCCTGCTCCTCCTCGGGCCTGGGGGCTGGTGTCAGGGGCGCAGGCACTGGTCCACAGTGTTGCTGAGAGCTGGAGCTCCCCCCCCACCCCGGCAGTATTTTCCACTCTTTCCCCACCATGGCCCCCCTCCAGCCTGTTTCCTTCCTCTGCCCCACCCCTGCCTGTCCTACCAGTTGGCCTCCTAGTTTTGTGCTGTGCTTCCCCCCCCCCCCCGTATGTGACCTTCACGACTTACCTGGGAAACACGCCTCGAGCTCCTCCAGGGCAGGACGCTGGCTCTGGTGCAGGTCTTCGTGGTGCTGTGACTGTCCAAGTATCCAGCCGCGCCGCAGATTGATTCCACGCGTGGCTGCTGGTCTCGGGCTTTCAAGAGACTGAAGAATTATTAGGGGAAAGGGGAGCTCATCTGCCTGCTGTTACCAGTTTCAGTGATGTATCTTGGCCCCTCTGACCGGAGATAACGATCCGCAGTTGAAAGGACAAATCTCGCCGCTGCCTCAGCACCAGGGGGCAGAGTCGGGCTGGCCCTGAGTGGTCCCTCCCAGCCAGGCCCCTGGCGCCGAGCCCCGTGTCTGAAACATTTCTGTCCTGAAGACGGGCTCACCTCGGAAAAAGTCAGTCATTAGCGTGGCCTAATCTGTTCCCAGAGTTAAACCCTGACTTCTCCATTTGCCCTTTTCCTGAGGTTTACAGGCATTTGCTATTTCCCCGATGATAGCAAAATCGAAGGCTCTTGTCAGCCTCGTCAAGATGTACTGCTGAGTCCCGAGGGCCCCGTGGGTTTTCCTTCCAGCATATTCTGTGCTCACAAATAGAGCGTCTTTGTGTCCTCATGAATTTATCTAAGACTGCTCGGGCCTTAAGAGTGTGAACGGAACATGGATGGATTAATAGGGGAGAGCGGTGTTAATATACCTGGTTATCATTGGGTGGGAACTGGTTCCAAAGATTGGTTTTAAACTGCCTTGTCTAAGCCAAAAAAAGAAAGGGGGGGGGGAGGGTGGTTGCATAAGAACAAGGATTATAAAGAGATTATGGTCTATTTAAGTAAATCCCCAGCCTCACTCCAACCTCATTAGCAATCAGCAAGAAAGTGGGAAGACTGGGATCCCTCCCGCCCCCCTCAGCCTTCCTGCAGCCTAGAGATTATCTGAGACCCGGGTTCCCTTGTGAGCCCTCCCCCCCCCCAGAGCCACTCACTACCTTGATGCCTGGCCCCCTGCCTGCGGCCTGGGCCTTGCAGTACCTGCCTCTTGGCAGACGTGCTAGGCACACCAGGATGTCTGAGTTCTTAAGTCTGGAGGCGCCGAATGCTTTCTGGATGTTGTTCTTTCCTGTCTTTGGTGCCAGGGATGGAACTCAGGCCTCCTTCAATCCCGGCAGAGTCCCGGCGGCCCTGACCTTACGGTGTCCACCTTCTGTCTTCCGTAACACTGGTGAGCCTTTCCGGTCTAGACAGTCTGTCCGCTCCTGCGTGTGGCGCGAGAATGTCGTCCGCGTTTTGGCGAGTACTGAGGATGGCGCTGGGCTCCGTCTGTCAGGAACTCGCCATCCTGGGAGATGAGATAGATGCCTGCAGGTTCTGCCAAGCTCCTGGGGGCCTGACACCTTGGAGGCGTGTGGGCAGCTGGGTGGGGGGGACTTGTCCTCAGAAGGTCACTGTCATGTCCAGGTGCTTCCGCCCCTGTTGCCTTCCACCTGCTCCTTTTTCCAGCGGCCAGAGCAGCTGCGCCCACGCCCAGTGGGCTTTGTGATGCTGTGACTTCTCTCTGCCTCTCTTCATCGGCACACAGGATGCACACAACCCATGCCGCCTGGTGTTTTATTTGCCAAGGCAGAACTGAGCAATGATGAAACTCTCTGGTCGGTCACTTAGGATCGACTCTCCGCCGCGGTGCCCCCGAGTTCACGGTCTCCCCCTGTTTCTTGTGACTTTCTGCTGGTACGAGTTTCTGAGGCTCCAGGGGCCCGAATCAAGAGCAGTCAAGAGCGGCGCCTAATACGCACTAAGCGCTAAGTGGAACGTAAAGAAACACTGCCGGCCCGATTACAGCGAAGGACTGATTACGCGACGTCCAATGACTGTAATTTCGAAGTAAACATCCTCTGGCTCCCAGTCCTGCCCCCTGGAGAAGCTGCCATTTGTCATCAGGATACTTGAGACAATACGTCCTTGTTTCCACAGACCTTGGCTTTATTCGCAGCCGCTTCCAGAGAGGGACCCGCATGCTGGACGCCCACAGACAGCAAATGCCCCGTTTCTCTGGGCCCTGCCTGTTGGGCACGGCCCCAGCACAAGCTGCTGGAGCTCCGACGTGCTTGCTAATTGGCACAGCACCTGCGATCAATTAGGGAAGCTTCAATTATCCAAACCGGAGCCACCCACCCAAAGATTAATTTTCTGCTCTATTTCCTATCAAAAACATAGCAGCTTTCGCTGTGGGCCCGGTCCTCCAGCGGAGTGCATTTCAGACAGAGAAACGACATCGTCTTCTTGTTAATTGTACTTGTTCCTTCATGGCAGCAGCCTTCCCCTCCTAAAACCATGCCCACCCGTGCTTCCGAAAATCTCTTGCGTGGTTGCCTTTCCAAAGTGCTGAGATCGCCAAGAAGCGATGTGAGCTGCATGCTTTTCTCCGGAAGCCTGGCTATGGGATCTCACCTCCATATCCAAGAGGGCTTGGGGTTAGGGAGTCTCGGAGTGTCCCATGGTTTCAAATGATACGAATTCCATGTAAACATAAAGATTTCCACCATCAGTGCCCCCCACCCCCTCCCCAACACCCTTCTCCCCTGCTAAAAGCCATTTTTTTGTTCTTGTTTCACAGAGAAGGAACAAGCCATAAACCGAGCTGGAATCATTCAAGAAAATGTGCAGCCACCAGGTACTTAAAAAAATCCCCCCGGAGTCTCATTTGTGCCCCGGTGGTGTCCGCGCGAGCCTCATGGTGGTGAGAGAAAGCTGCTTGGCTTGGAGACCTGGATATGAGGTCGCTGTTTATTTCACGGCCTTTGCCATTTTTTGAAGTTCCACCCCAGACTTTGTTCCAGGACTTCACAGCAGCATCTTTTTCTGCGAGTTTGCACGTTCCTCTCTTTGCATTGGATAAGTGGGCATAAACATGTAACAAGTGTGCAATTAAATATGAAGTGTGAATCGCTGTTTTGCAGACTGATTTTGCAGGCACCTATTTAACTGCTCCCCTCTTGGGAAAATTCTGTGTGCCTCTGAGCTGTCTTAATTGAGGGCGGGATTCTGCTTTCTTCAAAAGCCCCAAAGTTCCCTTTCTGGCTGAGTGCTTAGGTACTCTCAGATGATCCAAGTTGGCCAAATAGGAAAAGTTTCCAGGCTTGTTAAGTATAAAACTCGTATCATTTGCAGCAGCCGTTTTCTTTCCTTTTTTTTTTTATCCCCTTGTCTAGACCAGATACAAAACTTCCTGTGACAGGCTAGCTAGTTCTTTTGAAAGTTCTCAGACCTACTGTGGCTTCCCTGGGCCCCTGTGGTCTGCACCATCCCAGACCCGTGTCCACTGCCCACCTCACTCTTGATGTCACTGTGCTTATTGGGGGCTGGGGGGAATAGAGGGGCGGTGTTTGAAAAACAAGGCCCATCTCTGCCTCCCGTTTCTCTTTGTAGGGCTGAAAGTGTGGTCCGATCCGTTTGGCAGGAAGTGAGAAGGCTGCCGCCAGCTCCGATTGTGCGAGACACCTCCCTGCAGTTGTGCTTGCCGTTCTGCAGCAAGGACGTCACTGATTTCGCTCAAGGGCAGTGGCACAGGAAGGAAGTGAAACTGTCCAGGCTGGACGTCCTAGGATGAGCCAGCCCTCGCCTCCCTTTCTAATGGACCCGCAGCAGCTCATGCTGCTGGGAGGGCTTTCTTGATTCTGCTGACTTCCCCAACACGAAGCTCTCGGCCCTGCTGGCCTTGCAGGAGACTCTCTCCATCTCTCCTGCTCCTCCCGCCCAGCCTGCAACGCTGGTACACGCAGCCAGCTGTCTCCGGGAGATCCACGTCTGCCCCACTCCCGTCTTTGAAATACGAATTCTCCATCAGGAACCACCGTGCAGAGCAGCCTCATGGGGCTCTTTGAAATGTGAACGTCGATAAAAGTCTTTGAGGACATTATGCCTTTTAAGAATAAACAGTTCAGCTTAACTGTCTCGTCGTAGGTGCTTGCTACAAGTCGGAAGCAGATAGGAAGCAGGTGGAAGTCGACGGGGTGCATGCACAGTAGAAATTGAGATGGATTCACCAGCGGGAGCGTGAATATTAAAATGATCGATCCCTTTTTACTTTCATCCTGTTGTGTGGTTTGTTTTCTTGGGGGGGGAACCTTTTTTTTTTTAATGGATACATTAGACCAAGAAGTCTTATTTAACTAGACTGCAGCATTTGACTCGATGCTTGGGTGGTATTTGCCAGTTGTAAAAAAGCTTTTGGGGAGGGTCACACCCAACGATGCACAAGGGTTATGTGTGCATCAGAATTAATTCCTAATTCTGCACTTAGGAATTACTCCTGGTGGTGCTCGGGGAACCATATGGAATGCTGGGACTCGAACCCGGGTCGGCCGCGTGCAAGGCAAACGCCCTACCTGCTGTGCTATCACTCCAGCCCCACAAGGTTTTGTTTTTTAAAAAATTTATTTTGTTTCCGGGCCACACCTGGCAGTGCTAGGAGTTAGTACTGGTTCTACATACAGGAATTACTCCTGGCGGTCCTCAGGAGATGCCGGAGATCAAACCTGGGTGAGCCATGTGCAAAGCAAGTGCCTTACCCGCTGTGCTCTCTCTGCAGCTCCAACAAGGCCTTTTTCAGTTAAATGTGCGGAGACAGATGCTTGCTGCATGTAAGTATGAGAGCGCTTCTTTGTCTCCAGTGCACCCCTGGCCCTGCGCTTTGGAAGACACCCAGTGTTTCACTTGAGCTCTCCCTGCACAAGACTCTCAGCGGTCTTTAGAAGCTCTGCACAGTGACCTTGTGGAGGACTGAGAGTTGGCTTTAGAGAGAACCGGCCCAATTGTGTGATCATTGTCAAGAAATAAGATGGCTCATTCCCAAGCCCATGTGAGCATTTGTGGTGGACACGGGCATTCCCCAGCGTTGAACTAATGAGCCATTAACAACCTCATAAAAGAAGTTGACTCAGCCCTGCTCCATTCGACCGCAGTTTCTCCACAGAGGGCGTAGTGGGAAGTTGTACCACTAAGTCAGATGGTCTGTACATGCCTGCTGGAGTTTTCTTTATGGTGGAGGCCAGTATGCATGCCTTCTGCTGGGAAGGGGTCCAGGTGAAGAGCGAGTGTCTCTGTGTCAGTTGAGGGGCTTGGGGGAGGCCTCCCCCACCCCCATGTCCTGTTGACTGGGACTCAGTCCCCTGTCCTAGTCCTGCCAGAGCCCTTGATCCAGGGCTTTGCGGAGACCTGCCAGCCACATGCTGTCACGGGGTGAGTCTTTCCTTAGGCTTGGGGCTTGTGAGCCCTCGGTTCCCATGGGTGCTCATGGGTAATGCTGAAAGGGCTCCAAAGGGATCTAGGTCAAACACAATCAGGAAGCGTGGAGATAAAACTTAGGGATTTATTGCTTCTGACTGGATGGTTTCCAAGAGAGGCGAACCATTTCCCTCACATATTCCCAGAACTTGTTTCCCAGGTTGCCTTGTGGGACAATGACAAGCAGCTTCCTTTGGTGGGCCGGGATCATCCTCTAGGAAGCTTCCTAAACTGTGGGTGACCAACCAATGTACAGGACTTTTGGCAACAAAAGCTTCTGGATGAGCAATGACCAAAAATTAAGTTCATATCGAGTGCATGAAGCCCAGGTGCCTGGCAGTGTTCGCTCATGCTCTTTTTTGGGTGAAAATAGGTGGAACCGGGTCTAGGTTAGTAGTTCTTCCTGATGGTTGGGGTCTAGGACCTTCTGTTTTTGTTGTTTTTTGGGGGGGGTCGGCTAAATATGGTGGTGCTCGGGGCTTACTCCTGCCAGGCTTGGGGAGGTACTGGGGATCAAACCTTGGCCAGCAGCGTGCAAAGCAAGCACCTTACCTGCTTAACTATCTCCATTCCCTCCAGGAGCCTTTTTTACTTGTAAGAATGTTTGAGAGCACCAAAGTATTTATTTTTTTGTCTACGTCCAATGGTGCCCCGGACTTGATTCTGCAGTCAGGGATCACTCACAGCAGTGCTCGGAGGGCCATATATGTGATGCTGGGAATCAAGATCAGGCAAGCTCCTTACCCACTGGATCATGTCCTCAGGCCACATATTTTTTATAAAATATTTTTATTTGCTCATTGATTTGCTCCAGTGGTTATCTGTAACGTCTCCATTGTGAGACTTGTTACTGTTCTTGGCATATCAGATACGCCACGGGGAGCTTGCCAGGCTCTGCAGTGCAGGCTTTCCGAGCAGGACAGAGGAATCAAACCCGGGTCGGCAAGGCAAATGTGTGCAAGGCAAATGTCCTACCCGCTGTACTATCGCTCCAGCTTTTACATTGCTATCAATAATAGAGTTTCAGGCAGATGATGTTTCAACTCCAAAACTCAACTCCAGTGTCCCTTCCACTGATATCCCAAAGTTCTTTCCCCTCCCACCTCGCCTTGCTCTCTGCATAAGGTCTTGGAAATATAAGGTATTAAAATAAGAATTTAAGAATATCAATAAGTTCTGCAGGCCCGCTAGATATTTTTGTGTGAAAGCTTATTTTCCAAGGCCATTAAGTACTACTGGTCAGCAGTTTTCTTAACGGCCAGCTTACCCAACAACTAGGTTCTCATCTGATTCTCTGTCCCTGTGTTGCTGCATCAGGAGCCGTGGCCTCAGGAGTACTTTCTACACAGCTAGAATAGAAGCAAAAAGATAAACCAGCATTGGCACCATTGTCAAAGCAGTTTTACCCAGCAGAACCCCTGAAAAGACCTCAACCTCTAAAGATCCCTGGACCACACTCTTGACTTCCTGGCTGCTTTTTTCTTGGACATATTCTGACACTTTGAGAATGGGGTCTCTGGACCAGAGAAAGAGAGTCCGGGACCCAAAGCACTTGCCATGCATGCTGCTGACCCGGGTTTGATCCTCGGCACCACATATGGGTCCCTCAAGCACCGCCAAGAGTGAACCCTGAGCACTGCCAAGTATCGCCCAAAAACCAAAAAAGAAAAGAGAATGAAGTCTTTGCATTTGTTCTTCTAAATAGTTGCTAAAGCGAACTAGCGCTTTGCTCGTAGCTAGAATAGAAGCAATCCATAATTGAGGGAAATGAGAGGGAAATGGACACAATTTATTGTGATTATTTTCCAAATGAGGTGGTTGAAGCTTTCATTTTTCCTTGTCAGGCAGTGACCTCTTTAGGAAGCCTTGATTGACATTTGGATTTGGGGATCATACCCTGTCAGTGCTCAGAGCTTATTCCTGGCAATTCTCAGGGCATCATATGTGGTGCCAGGGATTGAACCTGGTTGGCTTCTTGCAAGGCAAACACCCTACCTGCTGTACTATTCGTTCTGGCCCCACCTTGGTTGACATTTTCAAAACATCTGAAGCAGAGGCCGTGCTGGTGACTGATCCCCATCCTCGTTCCGTGGAGGTTAAACTGTGTGGCTGGTTTTTCCATCTCTGTATTGACTGATGGGAAGATTAACCACACCTGTGGGCCAGCTGTTTCACCACACTCTGCACAGTGTGTTTGGGTCATTATATGAGCTCCATTACCCCTTTTCCCCATGCCCTTATTTATTTTCCTTGATGTTTTCTCATCTTGTATTCATGATGTATTGTTTCCCATCTTGTATTCTGCATGAGAGCCTTCATTTTTATAGGAAACTGGACACAATAGGATGCGTTCAGTTGAACATGCACTTACTGCCTTAGGACCCAAGAGATAGTACAGTGGGTAAGGTGCTTGCCTTGGGAGCTGCTGACTCCACTTCAGTGAATATTGCCACAAGTGGTCCCTGAGCACAGCCAGGTATAACTCAGCTCCACCCTCACCAACTCCCCTCACCCTCCCACCAAACTAATGAATGAAAACCCCAGCAAAAACAACCATGTAAATTCTTGTAAGGGAACTGTATATTCACAGGTGAAATGAAAATATATAGAAAATAGTATAGAAAATATAATATAGAAAATATAAAAATTACAATTGCCTTGAAACAGAGTGCAGATTTTGCCTGTGGGAGTTTGCCAGAGTTCAGTTCCTAGCACTGCAGGGGTCACTAAGGACTTCTGGGAGTGGCTCACAGGCACCACTGGATGTGATCCAAAATCAAACAAAAGTCTACAAACGTTGAGGGTATCTGCTGATGCTCACCATCTGCGAATCTCTTTCTGTTGCTTAAACTCCTGGTCGCGATAGCATGGTCCTGCAGATCTAGGTGTTTTTGCAGCAGAACTGCTTCAATAAGGTCACCGATGACACGTGTGAGAACATCCCCAGTGGCATTAGAATGGCCCTGGAAACAACCCAAATGCCCATCAACGGTACAAGGAAGAAATGAGCTCTGAGGCATCAGCCAGGGGAACTTGGTCCAAGCGCGAGCATGAATGCAGTGCACTGAATCGTGCATGCCTTGCGGAGCATATGCTGTTCCGATTTTATTTAGATGAAGGCAGAACTCAGGGCCAAGGTAACCACACAGTTACTGTCAGTACAGGCCGTGGGAGAGCGGTGAGGTCTTGAAGACACTGATAACGTTCTTAGATTTTGTTGTGGTTTAATTTGGGTGCGGGATAGATGAATGGGTTGGATCTGAATCTGCCCTCACTCCTAGAACCTATGAAGTGTGTCCTACTCCGCAGTTCGCCTGCAGAGGGGCATTAGCTCTTCCCTGGAGTCTAGCTCGGCCAGCAAGTAGCAGCTAGATCACCCTGCTTGAGGTCTCAGCACTGGGAAACGCTGGGCATCCTTCTCACCCTGCTTCCCCTAAGTCAACTGGTCTACCCCACACCCTGATCCTCAACAGTGTGACAATCACCAAGGTGTCCCTGGTCCCATCAGATTGAGGGGCAGTCCACAGCAGTCTCCTCTTCCCAGGCTGCTTCCATGATCAAACATTACGAAAGAAAACAACTTAGAAAACAATGGAGTACCTTGGCCAATTTTTTTTTTTAAGTGAAGCAAGGCAGTTTTCATTGAATGAATTCACTTTGGAAGACACGAGGGAAGAGAAAGAGAGGAACATGTGTTTAAGAGAGAACATGTACTTCTCCTGAGTGGAAAGAGCAGAAAGAGAAAGATGCGTGTTCAACAGAGAAATGGGCTTGACAGAGCAAGATGCCTGGTCCAAACTCCTGGT